TGCTCCTCACCGGACTCCATGCTGCTCCTCACCGGCCATCCATGCTGCTCCTCACCGGCCATCCATGCTGCTCCTCACCGGACTCCATGCTGCTCCTCACCGGATTCCATGCTGCTCCTCACCGGCCATCCATGCTGCTCCTCACTGGCCATCCATGCTGCTCCTCACCGGACTCCATGCTGCTCCTCACCGGACTCCATGCTGCTCCTCACCAGCCATCCATGCTGCTCCTCACCGGACTCCATGCTGCTCCTCACCAGCCATCCATGCTGCTCCTCACCGGACTCCATGCTGCTCCTCACCAGCCATCCATGCTGCTCCTCACCGGACTCCATGCTGCTCCTCACCGGACTCCATGCTGCTCCTCACCGGACTCCATGCTGCTCCTCACCGGACTCCATGCTGCTCCTCACCGGACCTCTGCGGCGAGTGTAACGTGTCCAGCTGTGCTCCAAGTGCAATAACCTCAGACGTGACAGACACAGAGGCTCCTGGATTCAGTGGCTGGCCGGGGTCCCCCAGCAAGAAAGAGGAGCGGGGAAGATCAACCCAAGCGCCATGGCGGGCTGTGCCCGCTTTCACCCAGCTCTGAGCCCAGCCTGTGACACACGCCTGCCTGTGCACACTCCTGCCTGTGCACACTCCTGCCTGTGACACACGCCTGCCTGTGCACACTCCTGCCTGTGACACACGCCTGCCTGTGCACACTCCTGCCTGTGCACACTCCTGCCTGTGACACACTCCTGCCTGTGCACACTCCTGCCTGTGACACACTCCTGCCTGTGCACACTCTTGCCTGTGACACACTCCTGCCTGTGACACACGCCTGCCTGTGCACACTCCTGCCTGTGACACACTCCTGCCTGTGCACACTCTTGCCTGTGACACACTCTTGCCTGTGACACACGCCTGCCTGTGCACACTCCTGCCTGTGACACACGCCTGCCTGTGCACACTCCTGCCTGTGTACACTCCTGCCTGTGACACACTCCTGCCTGTGCACACTCCTGCCTGTGACACACTCCTGCCTGTGCACACTCTTGCCTGTGACACACTCCTGCCTGTGACACACGCCTGCCTGTGCACACTCCTGCCTGTGACACACTCCTGCCTGTGCACTCTTGCCTGTGACACACTCTTGCCTGTGACACACGCCTGCCTGTGCACACTCCTGCCTGTGACAAACGCCAGCCTGTGACACACTCCTGCCTGTGTATACTCCTGCCTGTGACACACTCCTGCCTGTGACACACTCCTGCCTGTGACACACGCCTGCCTGTGACACACTCCTGCCTGTGACACACTCCTGCCTGTGTACACTCCTGCCTGTGCACACTCCTGCCTGTGACACACTCCTGCCTGTGACACACACCTGCCTGTGACACACTCCTGCCTGTGCACACTCCTGCCTGTGCACTCTCCTGCCTGTGACACACTCCTGCCTGTGCACACTCCTGCCTGTGTACACTCCTGCCTGTGCACACTCCTGCCTGTGCACACTCCTGCCTGTGACACACGCCTGCCTGTGCACACTCCTGCTTGTGACACACGCATGCCTGTGACACACTCCTGCCTGTGACACACGCCTGCCTGTGCACACTCCTAGCTGTGACACACTCCTGCCTGTGCACACTCCTGCCTGTGACACACGCCTGCCTGTGCACACTCCTGCCTGTGACACACTCCTGCCTGTGACACACTCATGCCTGTGTACACTCCTGCCTGTGACACACTCCTGCCTGTGACACACTCCTGCCTGTGACACACTCCTGCCTGTGCACAGTACTGCCTGTGACACACGCCTGCCTGTGCACACTCCTGCCTGTGACACATTCCTGCCTGTGACATGCCTGCCTGTGCACATTCCTGCCTGTGACACATTCCTGCCTGTGACATGCCTGCCTGTGCACACTCCTGCTTGTGACACATTCCTGCCTGTGACATGCCTGCCTGTGCACATTCCTGCCTGTGACACATTCCTGCCTGTGACATGCCTGCCTGTGACACACTCCTGCCTGTGACACACTCCTGCCTGTGACACACGCCTGCCTGTGACACACTCCTGCCTGTGACACACTCCTGCTTGTGCACACTCCTGCCTGTGACACACGCCTGCCTGTGCACACTCCTGCCTGTGCACACTCCTGCCTGTGACACACTCCTGCCTGTGACACATTCCTGCCTGTGACACACGCCTGCCTGTGACACACTCCTGCCTGTGACACACTCTTGCCTGTGACACATTCCTGCCTGTGACACACTCCTGCCTGTGCACACTCCTGCCTGTGACACACTCCTGCCTGTGACACACTCTTGCCTGTGTACACACTCCTGCCTGTGACACACGCCTGCCTGTGACACACGCCTGCCTGTGACACACTCCTGCCTGTGACACACTCCTGCCTGTGCACACTCCTGCCTGTGACACACTCCTGCCTGTGACACACGCCTGCCTGTGCACACTCCTGCTTGTGCACACTCCTGCCTGTGCACACTCCTGCCTGTGACACACTCCTGCCTGTGACACATTCCTGCCTGTGACACACTCCTGCCTGTGCACACTCCTGCCTGTGACACACTCCTGCCTGTGCACACTCCTGCCTGTGCACACTCCTGCCTATGACACACTCCTGCCTGTGCACACTCCTGCCTGTGACACACACCTGCCTGTGCACACTCCTGCCTGTGACACACTCCTGCCTGTGACACACGCCTGCCTGTGACACACGCCTGCCTGTGACACACTCCTGCCTGTGACACACTCCTGCCTGTGTACACTCCTGCCTGTGCACACTCCTGCCTGTGACACACGCCTGCCTGTGACACACTCCTGCCTGTGACACACTCCTGCCTGTGTAAACTCCTGCCTGTGCACACTCCTGCCTGTGCACACTCCTGCCTGTGACACACTCCTGCCTGTGACACACACCTGCCTGTGACACACTCCTGCCTGTGACACACTCCTGGCTGTGACACACTCCTGCCTGTGACACACGCCTGCCTGTGACACACGCCTACCTGTGCATTCCTACCTGTGCACACTCCTGCCTGTGCACACTCCTGCCTGTGACACACTCCAGCCTGTGCACACTCCTGCCTGTGACATACGCCTGCCTGTGACACACTCCTGCCTGTGACACACGCCTGCCTGTGACACACTCATGCCTCTGACACACTCCTGCCTGTGCACACTCCTGCCTGTGCACACTCCTGCCTGTGACACATTCCTGCCTGTGACATGCCTGCCTGTGCACACTCCTGCCTGTGCACACTCCTGCCTGTGACACATTCCTGCCTGTGACATGCCTGCCTGTGCACACTCCTGCCTGTGCACACTCCTGCCTGGGAGAGGGAGAGAGAGAGAGAGAGAGGGAGAGAGAGAGGGAGAGAAGGAGAGAGGAGAGGGAGAGAGAGAGGGAGAGAGAGAGAGGGAGAGGGAGAGGGAGGGAGGGAGAGAGAGAGAGGGAGAGAGAGGGAGGGAGGGAGGGAGGGAGGGAGGGAGGGAGGGAGGGAGGGAGGGGAGAGCACTTAGCAGTTTGTGGTCAGACAGTTGGAGGTGGGCGGGTGGAGTTGGTCGCAGGGGAGGGCGGGGCAGGGTTTGCTGGAGGAAGGAAACAAAGACCACACCCAACCACCCACCCTCCATCCCCGCAGGAAGTGGCTCTGCTCCCGCCTGGTGTGAACAGAGAAAGGAGGCCAGGCCTGGGCCGGGTGTCCCAGCATGCCCTGGTGCAAGGAGGGGGGGACCTCCCAGCATGCCCTGCTGCGAGGAGGGGGGTGTCCCAGCATGCGCTGGTGCGAGGAGGGGGGACCTCCCAGCATGCCCTGCTGCGAGGAGGGGGGACGTCCCAGCATGCCCTGGTGTGAGGAGGGGGGGACGTCCCAGCATGCTCTGGTGCGAGGAGGGGGGGCGTCCCAGCATGCCCTGCTGCGAGGAGGGGGGACGTCCCAGCATGCCCTGCTGCGAGGAGGGGGGACGTCCCAGCATGCCCTGCTGCGAGGAGGGGGGACGTCCCAGCATGCCCTGGTGCGAGGAGGGGGGACGTCCCAGCATGCTCTGGTGCGAGGAGGGGGGGCGTCCCAGCATGCCCTGGTGCGAGGAAGGGGGACGTCCCAGCATGCCCTGGTGTGAGGAGGGGGGGCGTCCCAGCATGCTCTGGTGTGAGGAGGGGGGGCGTCCCAGCATGCTCTGGTGTGAGGAGGGGGGGGCGTCCCAGCATGCTCTGGTGTGAGGAGGGGGGGCGTCCCAGCATGCTCTGGTGCGAGGAGGGGGGGGACGTCCCAGCATGCTCTGGTGCGAGGAGGGGGGCGTCCCAGCATGCTCTGCTGCCAGGAGGGGGGGGCGTCCCAGCATGCTCTGGTGCGAGGAGGGGGGGCGTCCCAGCATGCTCTGGTGCGAGGAGGGGGGGCGTCCCAGCATGCTCTGGTGCGAGGAGGGGGGGGCGTCCCAGCATGCTCTGGTGTGAGGAGGGGGGGGCGTCCCAGCATGCTCTGGTGCGAGGAGGGGGGGCGTCCCAGCATGCTCTGGTGTGAGGAGGGGGATGCTGGATGTCTTGGTGGAGGGGACAGGGGAGCGGAGGCCGCGGCCGGGTCCCAGTGCGGCGGGCACACACCTGGACTGGGAGGACTGGCCTGAGGCGGCGGGAGGGAGTGGAGGAGGAGCCCACGCTGGTGGGGCGGCCGCTCACCAAATCCTGTCCCAGGGCAGGGCAGAGGCCAGGCGGAGAGGGGCTCCCTCCAGGACCTTCCCACCACACACTCGGACGCCTTCCCTCCCCATGCCAACCCCGGCAGCCGGCCTGGCGGAGGTGGCCTGGCACCAGGGCGGCTCCCAGCCCCCGCCAGCCTCTCCGCCCCCCGCGCCTCCTCCAGGCTGGCTTCCCCATGGCAGCTGCGCCAGGCTCAGGAAGCCAGGCCTGGTTTCCCAGCTTCCTGCTCCAGCCACCACCGAGCCCCACGGTCCCTCCCAGGAGACGGGCTGCGGATGAACCTGCACGCACTCGTTGTCAACCACAGAGATTTCTTTGGCGTGATTTGGGGGCAGAGCTCCCCAGCCCAGCTGTGGGGGTCGGCCAGGGCCGCGCCATGCTTTGGCAGGAACCAAAATTGCTTCTCCCGGGGGCGGGGCTGGCTCTCATGGCGATCCTGGGCCCATGACCTGCACCAGGAGGCAGGTGGACCCTGAGCATCTGCGGAGGCCAGGGCCAGGCCCTCAGCCCTTGGCCTGAGCATCTGGGACCCTAGGGCGGTGCTTTGTCTGGACTGCAGGGAGTGGGGAGAGGGCAGCCCAGACCACAGAGCTGCGGAGGGCCAGGGCCGCCCGCCCCTGCGGGGCTGAGTGTCCTCTTCACAGGCCTGCAGCTGGCTCCCAGAAGCATGCTTGTTCAAATAAGCTCAGCACAGCGCGTTGGCTCACAGCAGATGTACCCATCCTGGTTCAAAGGCACTCACTGCGCGGGACGCGGCCGGGCTGGGAGGGAGATGGGGGACACGGGGCCCAGAGCGTGGGTCCTGAGACCCGGCTTGGGGTGGGGGAGCAGCAATGTTAATTTGGGGTTCCACCGGGCACCCCATCCACATCTGCTTTCAGCTTGTGCTTGGAGAATAGGCTGTGGAGCACCCGCAAAATGCTCTTCGTGTCCTTGTTCACAATGTCTGAGGGCCGGGGGCAGGACAGAGCCCAGTCAGCAAGGGTGACCCCCGGGCCACAGTCCTGGGGCCCCCCACCCCATGCCCTTCTGCCCCTCCCCCCACACCATTGCAACTCTTTCTCCTGGTCTGACTGGTGGGGACCTCTGTCCCCAGGACAGCCCCTGCCCCCCACGCGGGGGGCAGCCGCAGCGCCCCCGAGAGGAGGCCTGACACCACAGGAGGATTCCTCCTCCTCCTCCTCCTCTACCTGCCTCTACCAAGGCCGCCCCCCCCCCCCACACACAGAAGGGCTCCTCACCCTCGGGGCTGATGGGGTAGCCCAGCAGGCCTTGGTCCCTCAGCAGCTCCAATGCCAGGGTAACGTTGTGTAACTGCAAGGACAAGGTTTATCCATGTGAGCCTGGACGCCAGACCACCTGCTGCCCCTCATAACCTTTAATCCGCCCAAGGTTGGAGTCCCTGAGCAGCAGCGGGCGAGCAAGGGCCGTCCAGCCTCTCATCAGAGGCCGGTTAGCCCTAGTCCCGCTCAGAACACACAGGACCCAGGAGGGCCTCTGCCAACAGCCGCCGTCACCAAGGAGGTGCGCAGGGGCCCGGGAAGCTCCTGGGCGAGTCTGTCAGGTGAAGGGAGCTCACCAGGGAAAGAAGCCAGGGCTGGGGTTGTGGAGACTCCTCCATGGCACTGGTCTCCATCAGCAAAGCAAGGGAAACTGAGGCCGAGGAGGGCCGAAGGACCCACCTGCAGCCACAGACAGTGCTGCGTGGCTCATGCCTGGAACCCCGGCTGCTCAGGAGACTGAGATCAAAACCAACCTGCAGCCACAGACAGTGCTGCTTGGCTCATGCCTGGAACCCTGGCTGCTCAGGACACTGAGGTCTAAGGATTGCAGGTCAAAACCAACCTGGGCAGCAAAGTCTGTGAGACTCGTTTCTCCAATTTACCATCAAAGGGCCAGGGGTAGAGATAATGGCTCAAGTGGTGGCGTGCTAGCCTGAGTGACAAAGCTCAGGGACAGCATCCCAGCCCTGAGTTCAAACCCCAAGACTGCTCCCCTCAAAGAAAGAAAGAGCCAGAATCTGGGCCCGTGTCACTTGAACCTTGGCCAGGCAGGCTGGAGGCCAGGGAAGCCGCCCTGGCCTGGAGGCTGGAGCAGCCTGTATACCAGCCAGAGCCCAGGCCTGCTCTCCCCCAAGCAGGGGCGGCTAGGGCAGTGCCAGCCCAGCCTGCCCCGTCACCCCAGCCCCGCTGCCGTGAGAGGTAGGCCAGTTCCCAGCTTGGTGGACACGGAGTGAGCAAAGCCGAGCGGATGCGGTCGTGGTGTGGCCCTGCCCAGGCTGCCTCCGGTCACTGCTGGGGCAGCGGGCAGGCAGAGCACGGGGGTCTGGGTGGCATGTGTGTGGGCCTCCACCCACATAGGTGACCTGACACAGTCACAGATCCTGGCCGGGTCTCAGGCTCCTCATCTGCACCGTGGGGCCAGCACATCTGGCTCTCCAGGCCCACGCTAGAGTGGGGCTGAGGACGGAACCCGCCCGGAGGCCAGGAGCAGAGCCTGGGAGCTCCTCAAGGGCCCAGAGCCCCCGAGAGGGAGGACAGGCGCGCGGAGGGCAGCCACGAGAGCACGGAGGGCAGCCACGGGCCGGGCCGGGCTGGGCCGTCCTCACCGGAGCCCGCAGAGGCCCATGGCTGGCAGTACCATGGCTCCCCAGCAGGGGTGCCCTTCTGGACGGTCCAGATCAAGCTTCTAGAAAGCTCTCAGACCGGTCAGTCTGGAGTGTGCCACTCCCAGTCCTCCCTGGAAAGTTCTAGGAGGCGAGGACCAGGTGCCGCTCTGGTCACCGTCGCAGCATAGACATTATTTGTGGTTGCAGAAGGAATGATTTGATGTCAGCCTGAGAGGGAAGGATGCAGACTCGGTTCCAACGCTCAGCCTTCCACAACCTCAGTGGGGACCAGGATGGCCAGGGGAGCGTGGTCCAGGGGGACGGCTGGGCTGAGCAGAGAGCCAGGGCCTGTGCTGCGGGCCCCTCGGGCCTGGCGCCGGCTGGTGGGCAGATCAAGGCTGCTCAGGAGTGTTCCCGAAGTCAGCTGACCGAAGGAGGGAGCCCCGGGAGCCCCTGGGGACTGATGTTTTGAAAACATGTTTTTTTAAGAAAATTCTGAGTTGAGCATCAGTGCCAGGAAGAGAGCAACTCCCCCCTGGGAACTGCTAGCGGTGACACTGAAAACCCGCAGCCGGCCTGCTGCCACACGCTTCTCCAGCGAAGCTCTCAGGAACCAAAGATCACCTCCCCAAAGAGCCCCCCATGCGCCGAACGTCTGCCCCCGCCCCAGCACGGCCTCTTCTTCTGGGCACAGTCTGGGATGCTGAGCGGAGGAGCCATGGCCTCCAGCAGCTGAGGGAGGGAGGGAGGGGGGGAGGGAAGGAGGGGGCAGCCTGAGACCCCTCACGTCCTCCCGGGAGAGATAATTGAATGTGGGAGGAAGCCGTGGTTCTGGCTCCACACACTTTGATTTCTGCAGAGGCAAGGATCCCTGTCCCTCCGTCCCTAACGCCTGTTCTTGAAATGAACGACAATCTCCCGTCACGAGTGCGGGCAAGCCGGGGCTGGAAATGAAAAATCCAATTTCCCAAGGCCTCTGTGGCAGGATCTCGCTCTAAGTGCCCTCCTCCTGCCAGCGCCTCCATAGAATGCCTTCCAGCCTCCAGAGGGTCTGCGCTGAGATTGCCCGGCCCCCGCCCCCAGCTCGGCCCGCTCAGCTGGGCGCTGGTTCTGACAGCGGTAGGTGTGCTCAGCAAGCTGGAGGAGCCCAGAGAGGCTAGAAGTTGGCACATCGGCGCCTGGCGTGGGCCCGAGGTTTGGGGCACACACTCCTGATGCCACCACACCCAAGGAACAAGGGTGGGGATGGGTGCTCTGTGAGTCTGGGTTTTGGGAGCCTTGTCTGAGAGGCTTCTCAGCCTGAGCTAGCCTTGATCTGGCAGCCTCCTTTTCTCAGGACTCCCAAGTAGCTAGGATTGCAGGTGTGAGCCCAGAGGCCCAGCTCCCTCTCCTCTCTTAACCCCTCTCAGCTTCTGCTTCACCATCTTCCCAGGGGATATATGGAAGGTTAGATGGGAGCATGAATGGACAAATGGGAAGGATGGATGAAAGCAACTGGGTGGGTGGGAGGGTGGAATCATGGGTGGACGCATGAATAGATGGATGGATATGTGCATGGATGCGTGGGTGCAGGGCCTGCATGGGATGAATGGGTGGGTGGGTGGTGCATGGGTGGATGCGTGCATGCATGGGGGTGGGTGGATGCATGTGTGCATGGGTAGAGGGATGAATGCACGTATATGGATACTTGCATGGGTGGGTGGGTGAACGGTAGGTAGGTGGGTGAATGGACAGTTGGGTAGATAGGTAGGAGGTGGGTAGATGCATGCATACGTGGATAGAAGCCTATGTGGATGGATGGATGGGTGGGTGGGTGGATGAGAAAGGGGGTGGGTAGATTGGTAGTTGGGTGGATAGTTGGTTGGATGGATGGATGGGTGGGTGGGTGAATGAGAAAGGGGTGGGTAGATTGGTAGTTGGGTGGATAGTTGGTTGGATGGATGGATGGGTGGGTGGGTGAATGAGTGAGGGGTGGGTGGATGGAAAGTTGGGTAGATAGTTGGGTGGATGGATGGATGGATGGGTGGGTAAATGAGTGGGGGGTGGGTAGATTGGTGGTTGGGTAGATAGTTGGTCGGGTGGATGGATAGATAGATGGATGGATGGGTGGGTGGGTGAATGAGTGGGGGGGTGGATGGACAGTTGGAGATAGTTTGGGTGGATGGGGTGGGTGGATGAATGAGTGGTGGGTGGGTGGATAGTTGAGTAGTTGGATGGGTGGATGGGTAGGTAGGGGTGGGTGGATGGACAGTTGGGTAGATAGTTGGGTGGGTGGGTAGGAGGATGGACAGTTGGGTAGATAGTTGGGTGGGTGGGTGGGAGGATGGATGGGTGGATGGATGGGTGGATGGACAGTTGGGTAGATAGTTGGGCGGGTGGATGGATGGATGGGTGGATGGATGGGTGAGTGGGTGGATGAGTAGGGGGTGGGTGGATAGACAGCTGGGTAGATAGTTGGGTGGGTGGATGGGTGGGTGGGGGTGGGTGGATGGACAGCTGGGTAGATAGTTGGGTGGGTGGGTGGATGGATGGATGGGTGGATGGGTGAATGAGTGGGGGGTGGGTGGATAGACAGCTGGGTAGATAATTGGGTGGGTTGGTGGATGGGTGAATGAGTGGGGAGTGGGTGATGGACATTTGGGTAGATAGTTGGGTGGGTGGGTGGATGGGTGGGTGGATGGGTGAATGAGTGGGGAGTGGGTGGATGGACAGTTGGGTAGATAGTTGGGTGGGTGGGTGGATGGGTGGGTGGGGGGGTAGGTGGATGGACAGCTGGGTAGATAGTTGGGTGGGTGGGTGGATGGATGAGTGGGTGGATGGGTGGGTGGGTGGGTGGGTGAATGAGTGGAGGGTGGATGGATAGACAGTTGAGTAGATAGTTGGGTGGGTGGATGGATGGGTGGGTGGGGGTGGGGTGGATGGACAGCTGGGTATGTAGTTGGGTGGGTGGGTGGATGGGTGGGTGGGGGTGGGTGGATGGACAGCTGGGTAGATAGTTGGGTGGGTGGATGGGTGGGTGGGTGGGGGTGGGTAGATGGACAGTTGGGTAGATAGTTGGGTGGGTGGGTGGATGGGTGAGTGGGAAGTGGATGGATGGACAGTTGGGTAGATGGGTGGGTGGATGGGTGGGTGGATGGGTGGGTGGATGGGTGGGTGGATGGGTGGGTGGGTGGGGGTGGGTGGATGGACAGTTGGGTATGTAGTTGGGTGGGTGGGTGAATGAGTGGGGGGTGGGTGGATGGACAGTTGGGTATGTAGTTGAGTGGGTGGGTGAATGAGTGGGGGGTGGGGTGGATGGACAGTTGGGTAGATAGTTGGGTGGGTGGATGGGTGGGTGAATGAGTGGGGGGTGGGTGGATGGACAGTTGGATGGGTGGGGGTGGGTGGATGGACAGTTGGGTAGATAGTTGGGTGGGTGGGTGGATGGGTGGGTGGGGGTGGGTGGATGGACAGCTGGGTAGATAGTTGGGTGGGTGGATGGGGTGGGTGGGTGGGGGTGGTGGATGGACAGTTGGGTAGATAGTTGGGTGGGTGGATGGGTGAGTGGGGGTGGGTGGATGGACAGCTGGGTATGTAATTGGGTGGGTGGGGTGGATGAGTGGGGGGTGGGTGGATGGACAGTTGGGTATGTAGTTGGGTGGATGGGTGCGTGGGGGTGGGTGGATGGACAGTTGGGTATGTAGTTGGGTGGGTGGGTGGATGAGTGGGGGGTGGGTGGATGGACAGTTGGGTATGTAGTTGGGTGGGTGGGTGGATGAGTGGGGGGGGGTGGATGGACAGTTGGGTAAGTAGTTGGGTGGATGGATGGGTGGGTGGGGGTGGGTGGATGGACAGTTGGATGGGTGGCGAGTGGGTGGATGAATAGACACCGGGGGAACTGCGACTGCACTGCACTCCACTGTAGGAGAATATGCACTGGTGCCCTGATGCCCAGATCTGCCTACTCTGAGGTCCACCCTGCAGGAAAGCCCCGGAAGACTCACCATTTCTGCAGGATTGCTGGGAGTGAGGAAGAATTCCTTCAGGTGGAGGAAGAAGCCTTCCAGCTGTCCAATCAGCAGGAGCAGAAGGACTCCATCTGCAAACTAAGAGAGGGGCACCGGAGGTGCCGGCGTGCAGGGGCGGACGCCCGTGATTCTAACTGCCTTTTACGGACTGTGTGACCCTAAGGACATCGCACAACCTCTCTGAGCCCCAGGTTCCTTTTAGGAAATGGGCATGCGACTCCCAGCCTCACAGGCTTGTAAACAGGAACACAGCCTTTGTGACAGCCCAGTGTACAGTACATGCTCAATAAAAAGAGTGTGTTCGCAACTCTGCCGGAGAATCGCCTCCCGTGGGTTTTTAATGACACATTGCTTCCGGAACTCTAGGAACACAGGCTAAACAGCTAAGTGTGGAATGAAATTATCCTGCCAGGGGCCGCGCTTGCAGCCACACGTTAATATTTCTGTCTGTTCTCCGGCTCATCCTATGTCAATGCACCCATTGATCAAAGATCAGCTCTCCCAGGAAAAACACCAACCCAAGTCCTTAATGGAATTTCCTCGCCTTAACTCGGTTCCAATGCTGTTTGCCGGGAGCTGACCTCTCCCGCCGGTGTCCCCCTGGAACGCTGGCCCTCATACGCTCATTAACACCGTTCCTAACACCGTCCTGGCACCTGCTGACATTCTCCACGAGACATTTTATTTTTTTCCCAGGGGGAGAATAAAGATGAGCAGGGAACATAAAGCTAAGGGGCCACCCTGTTTATACAAACGGGAGCAACAATAAACCTCGGACGCATCACACACTGACCACTCCTGTTCGGGGACTTCGACCCCTCAACTCTGGGAGCCTGGGAGCGCTATCCCCAGCCTTCGAGAACTGGAGCCTGAGGGCCAGAGAGGTCCGGCAACCTGCCCAAGGCCATACAGCTGATGTAGGGCAGGCACACGTGCATGCACACGTGTGCACACACACACACACACACCCATGGCTACCTTGTGAAGTAGTTTCCCAGCACCACCCCTCACTTAATTGCTGTGTGGCCTTGGATAAGCGGATTGACTTCTCTGGGTCTTACTGTCCTTATCTGTAAAATGGGGCCTGCTGGGAGGATTCCCGGCCTGATGTGGAGAAAACTGTGTGTGCCGGGCTGGTACCTTTGCCCCGGGCCTAGGGGTGTGGCCTACCTGGGTGTCCAGATCCCGCACAGACAGGCCCAGGCGCTCCAGCTTCTGGTTGACAAAACTCAGCATAGCCTAGGGGAAGATGAGCGGATGGCAGATGGGAGGGAGGCTCGGGTGTGGGACTTCCCGACTCCCGTACCCAGGACAGATGCAGAGCCAGGGCCCCCCACTAGTGCTCGCTGGAGGCCCGGGCTTTGATCTCACTTACCTCTTTCACAGAGCTCACTTTCTCTGGAGTTGCCGCAAATAATTCATCAAAGATGTCCCCTGCAGGCCAAGCCAACAAACAACTAGTCACCGTGCTGCTACCCTCCCGCCAAAGGAAACATCAGCTTGCACAAGCGTTTCTCAGGCTAAGCAGCCCAAAGCAGGGTCCTGAACAAAATACGCCTGTGTCTGGGTTGCTTGCGGCTCCCTGGCTGTGTGCCCGAGGGACCTGCCCTCTCTGAGCCTCCGTTCCCTCGTCTACACGCGTGGTGGGTGGCACTCCGACGCGCACAGGCCGGGCTCCTCCGGCAAGCTGGTCCTCCAGCACCCAGCACCTGTGCGGGCTGCAGGCACTGCCCACTCACAGAACCCATCCCGCCCTCCGCCTCCACCCGGGCACTGCCGGAGGGCCCCCCCAGCCCACAGCACCCCCGTCCAACTCGGCAGAAAGCCAGCCACAGGCTTCCCACCTGCGCCCGGGGGCACACGTGTCCTGGAGGAAGCCAGACCCGGGAGCCATGCGGTCCCAGCAGCAGCCTCTCTGCCCCTCTCCGCCCCCGGTGCCCCCCTCCCTGCCCCTCTCCACCCCCGGTACCCCCCTCCCTGCCCCTCTCCACCCCCGGTGCCCCCTCCCTGCCCCTCTCCGTCCCCGGTGCCCCCTCCCTGCCCCTCTCCACCCCCGGTGCCCCCTCCCTGCCCCTCTCCACCCCCAGTGCCCCCTCCCTGCCCCTCCCTGCCCCCGGTGCCCCCTCCCTGCCCCTCTCCACCCCCAGTGCCCCCTCCCTGCCCTTCTCTGCCCCCGGTGCCCCCTCCCTGCCCCTCTCCCACCCCCAGTGCCCCCTCCCTGCCCCTCCCTGCCCCCGGTGCCCCCTCCCTGCCCCTCTCCACCCCCAGTGCCCCCTCCCTGCCCTTCTCTGCCCCCAGTGCCCCCTCCCTGCCCCTCTCCATCCCCAGTGCCCCCTCCCTGCCCCTCCCTGCCCCCGGTGCCCCCTCCCTGCCCCTCTCCACCCCCAGTGCCCCCTCCCTGCCCCTCCCTGCCCCCGGTGCCCCCTCCCTGCCCCTCTCCACCCCCAGTGCCCCCTCCCTGCCCTTCTCTGCCCCCGGTGCCCCCTCCCTGCCCCTCTCCACCCCCAGTGCCCCCTCCCTGCCCCCTCCCCTGCCCCCGGTGCCCCCTCCCTGCCCCTCTCCACCCCCAGTGCCCCCTCCCTGCCCCTCTCTGCCCCCGGTGCCCCCTCCCTGCCCCTCTCTGCCCCCGGTGCCCCCTCCCTGCCCCTCTCTGCCCCCGGTGCCCCCTCCCTGCCCCTCTCCGCCCCCGGTGCCCCCCTCCCTGCCCCTCTCCACCCCCAGTGCCCCCTCCCTGCCCCTCCCTGCCCCCGGTGCCCCCTCCCTGCCCCTCTCCGCCCCCGGTGCCCCCTCCCTGCCCCTCTCCGCCCCCGGTGCCCCCTCCCTGCCCCTCTCCACCCCCAGTGCCCCCCTCCCTGCCCCTCTCCACCCCCAGTGCCCCCTCCCTGCCCCTCTCCACCCCCAGTGCCCCCTCCCTGCCCCTCCCTGCCCCCGGTGCCCCCCTCCCTGCCCCTCTCCACCCCCAGTGCCCCCTCCCTGCCCTTCTCCGGTGCCCCCTCCCTGCCCCTCTCCACCCCCAGTGCCCCCTCCCTGCCCCTCCCTGCCCCCGGTGCCCCCTCCCTGCCCCTCTCCATCCCCAGTGCCCCCTCCCTGCCCTTCTCTGCCCCCGGTGCCCCCTCCATGCCCCTCTCCACCCCCAGTGCCCCCTCCCTGCCCTTCTCTGCCCCCGGTGCCCCCTCCCTGCCCCTCTCCACCCCCAGTGCCCCCTCCCTGCCCCTCCCTGCCCCCGGTGCCCCCTCCCTGCCCCTCTCCACCCCCAGTGCCCCCTCCTGCCCCTCTCTGCCCCCCGGTGCCCCCTCCCTGCCCCTCTCTGCCCCCGGTGCCCCCTCCCTGCCCCTCTCTGCCCCCGGTGCCCCCTCCCTGCCCCTCTCCGCCCCCGGTGCCCCCCTCCCTGCCCCTCTCCACCCCCGGTGCCCCCTCCCTGCCCCTCTCCACCCCCGGTGCCCCCCTCCCTGCCCTTCTCCATCCCCGGTGCCCCCTCCCTGCCCCTCTCCGTCCCCGGTGCCCCCTCCCTGCCCCTCTCTGCCCCCGGTGCCCCCCTCCCTGCCCCTCTCTGCCCCCGGTGCCCCCTCCCTGCCCCTCTCCGTCCCCGGTGCCCCCCTCCCTGCCCCTCACCACCCCCGGTGCCCCCCCTCCCTGCCCCTCTCTGCCCCCGGTGCCCCCCTCCCTGCCCCTCTCTGTCCCCGGTGCCCCCCTCCCTGCCCCTCTCTGTCCCCGGTGCCCCCCTCCCTGCCCCTCTCCACCCCCGGTGCCCCCCTCCCTGCCCCTCTCTGCCCCCGGTGCCCCCCTCCCTGCCCCTCTCCACCCCCGGTGCCCCCCTCCCTGCCTCTCTCCGTCCCCGGTGCCCCCTCCCTGCCCCTCTCCATCCCCGGTGCCCCCCTCCCTGCCCCTCTCCACCCCCGGTGCCCCCCTCCCTGCCCCTCTCCACCCCCGGTGCCCCCCTCCCTGCCCCTCTCTGTCCCCAGTGCCCCCTCCCTGCCCCTCTCCACCCCCGGTGCCCCCTCCCTGCCCCTCTCCACCCCCGGTGCCCCCCCTCCCTGCCCCTCTCCACCCCCGGTGCCCCCCTCCCTGCCCCTCTCCGTCCCCGGTGCCCCCTCCCTGCCCCTCTCCACCCTCGGTGCCCCCTCCCTGCCCCTCTCCGTCCCCGGTGCCCCCCTCCCTGCCCCTCTCCACCCCCGGTGCCCCCCCCAGGCTGCCCGCCACCTGTCATCTCCAATGGCTCACATACCACTAGGTCCCTTTCTGTGGGTGCAATGCCCCATCTAGCACCCTGTGCCCTGCAGCTGTCTGAAATGAAGGAAGATGCAGACAGGAAAATTAGTCCTAGGATAGATGGATGGATGAGTGGAAGTGGATGGATGGTGGATGATGGATAAATGGGTGGATAGATAAGGTGATGGATGGATGGAGACTGATGGATAATGGATGGATGGATAGATGGATGATTGGATGTATGGATGAGTAGATGAATAGATGAATGAATGGATGAATAGAGGAGAGGATGGATGGATAGGTGGATGGATGGATGGATGGTTGGATGGGCAGACGGATGGATGAATGGATGAGTGAATGGATAGGTGGATGGGTGGATGGATAGGTAGATGGGTGGATGGATAGATGGATGGATGAATGGATGGATGGATAGGTATATGGGTAGATGGATAGACGGATGGATGGATAGGTGGATGGGTAGATGGATAGGTAGATGGGTAGATGGGTAGATGGATGGATGGATGGATAGGTAGATGGGTGGATGGATAGATGGATGGATGAATGAATGGATGGAT